TTCATGCCTGAGTTTACAGACAATCTTCGGACAACTAAAGTTCTGTTAACTAAATTTGACGGTTTGGTTTTGTTTGCTTGCGCGTGCATGATTGCGCACGTTGTTTGATTGCACGCGAATGTATTTTCCCGCCAGAAATTGTTTTTGGTGGACGCAATTCGAGAATATTTCACTTCTTTTGTTGAGCAGCGAGTTCTTTTTAAATTTCATGATGAAAAGTTTTTCGTCGCTACACAAATTGCACTGATTACGTCCCGATCCGTATGCACTCGAATGTTTTAAAATTGTCCACTTAATTTTGTATGGGCGATATAAAAACTCTGAGTAACAACGTTTGTTTTGTACTTTATTTAAATAATTAAATATATATATATATATATATATATATATATATATATATATATATATATATATATATATATATATATATATATATATATATATATATATATTGATATACGACGACCACGAGTCCCCTTCGGCACGATACAGGCCGACACGATCTTTCCCAAACGTTGTCGATAGTTCATTTAAGATGAATAAACCAACAAGTTCACAAACTTCCGGACTCGTGGTCGTCTAGCTGACCAGACAAGAAAGAAATTGCACCATTTATTTGAGCAATTTGATTTAAAGATCACGGCAGAAGTCAGTCATCGAACTGTTAATTTTCTAGACATTACGCTCAACTTAGCTGACGGTAGTTACAAACCCTATAGGAAACCGAACAACCAACCACTCTACATCAACAGCCACTCTAACCACCCACCCCCAATTATCAGACAACTACCTGTGTCAATTAATAAAAGAATCTCCCGACTCTCTTCCGACAAACAAGCATTCGACTCATCGGCGCCTCTATACGAACAAGTCCTCCATCACAGCAACTACCAAAGCAAGTTACACTATCAAAATCATAACGCCCGTAACACACCAAAAAGAACCCGAAAAAGGAATATCACCTGGTTCAATCCGCCCTACAGTAAAAACGTGAGATCCAACACTGGTAAAGATTTTCTACACCTCGTAGATATTCACTTCCTTAAGTCATCTGCCCTCAACAAAATTTTCAACAGGAATACCATCAAAGTGAGCTATAGTTGCATGAAAAACGTGAAATCCGTGATATCCAGCCATAACAATAAGATCCTTTCAAAAGCGCCATCACCAGCATCACCTCCCCCATCACCAACGTTAACGCCAACACCACCATTAAAACCAACACCAACACCTGTGCCACCCACGAACAAAACATGCAACTGCAGAGATCAACAAGAAATGGTTAACCAAAGGCATTGTCTACCATGCAAAGATCGCAGCAGAGGACAACGGAGAAACAAGGCACTATATTGGAATTACGGCTACAACTTTCAAGGAGCGTTTTAGAAACCACCAGAAATCGTTCAACAATCGAACAACGTGCGCAATCATGCACGCGCAAGCAAACAAAACTAAACCGTCAAATTTAGTTAATAGAACTTTAGGTGTCCGAAGCCTTTGTCTGTAAACTCGGGCATGAAACTCTGAGTAACAACGTTTGTTTTGCACTTTATTTCTTAAATAATTATATATATATATATATATATATATATATATATATATATATATATATATATATATATATATATATATATATATATATATATATATATATATATATATATATTTAATTATTTAAATAAAGTACAAAACAAACGTTGTTACTCAGAGTTTCATGCCTGAGTTTGAGAAACTCAGGCATGAAACTCTGAGTAACAACGTTTGTTTTGTACTTTATTTAAATAATTAAATATATTTAGCTCTACAATAAAGTATTGAGCACTCTATATTATATCAAGAAGACTTGAATTGTTATATATATATATATATATATATATATATATATATATATATATATATATATATATATATAAATATCACTAGCCTCCCAAAAAACTTCATTTATATAAAGCTTCAAATTGAAAATAAATTTTATTAAACTTCAAATAAATAAATACATGTTGTAAAGATAAAGATACGTTTCGAGGCACAGCCCCTTTGAAGCTTTATATATATATATATATATATATATATATATATATATATATATATATATATATATATATATATATATATATATATATATATATATATATAAATATACCTATTAATGAGTGATTTTGAAGCGCCTGGGCAGGAGACATTACAAAATTATTTCCAACACCCTACCCGCTCAAAAATCCTGGCGATATTTTCCTTCAGCTCCGAACAATTCCTGCTTAAAAGCTTGATTGTATTTCAAAACTCAACAAAATAACCGTGCTGTTTTAGCTCACGCTGTTTTGCACAAGCATAATAAACAGGGTTCGTAGTCTCCAAGACCAAAAAAATTCGAAGACTTTCAAAGATTTTTTCTGCCTATTTTCAAAGACTTTTCAAGGACCTTTAAGAACAATTAGCTGTCGAAAAATTGCGAGTGTGAGCACCATTTTTACCCGGGTAATTAGTCCAGTCAAATCACGTCTTAAAATGCGCCTTTTCGTCGATATTTGCGAAAATCTTGCTTCAATCAATCTATTTTATTAGCTAGGAAATCGTATAATCAAATACTCACTGAAGAATTTAAAGACTTTTAAAGACTTTCTTCGCTTTTTCAAACAATTCAAAGACTTTTCAAAGACCTTAAAGACCTGCATTCAAATTTAAAGACTTTCAAGGATTTCAAAGACCGCTACGAACCCTGATAAATGCAATTAAGTCACCAGCACTTCATCAAGTCGCGGTGAAATGGGATTTAATTATTGATGTTGAAAAATATGTCAATATCGGACACGCGGCGCATGCATAATGGCAAATTTTGTAATACGTTTAGCTCTAGAAAACAACGCACAATTATTGCCATCCTTCTTCAAAAGTCTAAAAGCGACATTTTCTCGGAAATAATTCATGCCATATTTTAACCCGGTAAAAAGCTTATTAATGAAGGGAGACATTTAGGCTTGTTGCCAACTGAGAATCTTTGCGGGAGGCCCGCGCGGAGATGCGAGCGTTTGAGGTTTCAATTGATCCAGCCAATCAGTACCACGCAAATGAAATGTGAATGACTAGTCGATTAACTTCAACGCCGTTGAAATAACAGCAAAAGCGCTAGCTGTTTTCGCATCAAACTATTTTTAATAAGAAATTCAAAGATTTTCAAAGACATTCAAAGACATTTCAGGCGTTTGAAGTCTGTAACTAAGTGGCTAATGTTTTGAAGTCAAACACTGCATGCAAAATTGTGAAATTGAGCATTTTAAGTACTTTTATATTGTATATATTTATATTTGATTAATGAGTTACAGGTCATGTCCAATTACTACAAACTCAAATTAAATTTGCATGGAATCGACTGATTTTATATTATGAAATGACATTATTGAAACTTGCATTTCTTAATCACGGTAAGAATTGCAAGCCAACAGAACTGTTTTCAACAACAAGAATTATTTTAAAATGTTTTCCCACACTTAATTACCCTGAGAGCAGAGCATGTTAGCAATAGTAAAAATATAGTAATAGTTTGATTTCACAACTGACAAGTGACAAAGTTATCGATTTGAAAATGTTTTTGTATTGTTTATATTGTCGTAATTGTACAGCACGTGCAGTTGCACGCGCCCAGCATGTAGCGATAACTGCATGCGATTGGTTCTCTAAATTTAGCAGTCATTCTAAAAATACAAGTGATCTTTGACATGTTTTGACATAATATTGGAACGGAGCATGCTCGACAGAAATTAAACACAAAAACGGCAGAGCCTTATTTTCTACGCGAGGGGAAATCAGGCTCTACTCTCAGGGTAACATTTAATTGGATGCATCATAGCAGCCCAAAACGGTTTGTAGAATGCACCAATGCTTCCAAATGTCAAATTTATATTAAGCACGCCCCATTCCTCTGTCATTTGTCGCGCGCCGCAAGCAGTCAATGAAAAGCATTGTTCATATATATAGATTATACCTAAGGTTAGCAACTATACCTCAACTGACGAATATACGACTTCGGCAAAACGCAAAATACTTCGCAGACGTAAATAAAACATGATAAAAAATTATAGCACATTAAACTCTGATACTTTTTCTATATACCCGCCGCATAAATTTTGTTTTCAAGACTGCAAGAAAGCTGAAAAATTTGCACAAACATTTCATGGTCTGACGAAAATTTTGTTGTCTCCATGCGGGATGCTAGAGGTTATTTCATTCGTCATATTTTCAAAAAAATTATGTGATTCAATTGGTTGAAAACGTGAACAGTTCGTGACGTATATTTATAGTAAAAATTTGGTTTCAGGGGGGGGGTTGAACTACAACAGGAAGACTGCTAAACTGACAAGAGCGATTTTTTTTCGAAGATGAAATGGTGGATTTTAAAAACTTTTAACATCCATCCATAACTTTTATCTACAGCAAAACAACTAGGCAACTTTTGGCTACATGTACACGTAATGTCATAACATTCTGAGCAAAAAAACTTGCGAAGTTATCTTGGGAAAGATTATAGAGCGTTTTCATTTGACGTCATCAAAATTCTAAAATCTAAATTATAAATCCTATAAAGTTGAGTGTTTTATATGGTTTACAGATCGTTGTTGTGAGGTTTCATCGAGAATTTTAGGTTGATGAGACTATTTCTTCTAGAGTTACAAAGTGTTGTCAAAACCATTCTGAGTTTAAATCTGACCATTTTGATTAAAATTCGGCTTTATTTGATTCTTGGTATTTTCGGCGCCATGTTGGTGTTCCAAAGTGGTACACCAACATGGCGGCCCCGTGTTAATCAAGCAAATATTTGACATTTTAATTTCCCTCTAGTTCAGCTACTGATCATGCTATCACTCCCAAATTTTAGCTCTAGTTATATTTTTTGCTTGCTTTTTGGCAGTTTTTGCAAAACGTAGAAAATATTATAAGAAAGTAAGCTGGAAAAAAGTCGTAACGTCAGTGAAAACGCTCTATTGTCAAATATGTTTTTGAAGGTGGCGGTGGTGGAGGATTTTACGGCAATGGACGCAGTAGTACAAACTTTGGTGGAGTCAAAGGAAGTGGTGGGGAAGGAGGAAGAGGATTTACTCAAGGAGGAGCAGGGGGGCGTGCTCTGTACAATAATGCAGTCGGAGGGTTTGGAGGAGGTGGAGGGGGGAGGGACTTGGAGGAGGTGCAGGAGGGGGCGGAGGATATTCTGGAGGAGCATCAGGGGCTAGTCATTATCATTCATGCGGAGGAGGAGGAGGGTCGTACAATATCGGCAAGAATCAAGAGAACAAGGAGGGATTCCGCGCAAGTGGTCATGGTTATGTCGAAATAAGACTTCTGTCATAAAACTCAATAAGTAGAATACTTGGTTTGGGAATTCAGTAAAGTACAATATAACCGTCATTATTATATGCATAAGGTCTGGATATGGAGTACTCTACAATCTGATTGGTTCTCTACTGGCAGGATATTAGCTCTTATTATATACGTATAGAGATTTACGTGCGGTGGACGGGTGAAATAAAAATCGTATTTCACTGTGGACGAAGCACATAAGCGTTTTGATTGGACGAACGACTTTTCTCACTAGTGAAATTTTATCGTATGAGCATTTTGATTGGACGAACGATTTTTCTCACTAGTGAAATTTTATCGTATGAGCATTTTGATTGGACGAACGATTTTTTTTCACTAGTGAAATTTTATCGTATGAGCATTTTGATTGGACGAACGATTTTTTTCACTAGTGAAATTTTATCGTATCGGCATTTTGATCCCAACATGGCGCCGGTTTTGAGGAGGCGAGAATGGCCAAATTTATATCATAAATATTAATATCTATAAATAATGTTGACAAAGAGAGAAATTAAAACATAAAAAAGAAAAAAAGAACACATTTACTTGTTGGTGAGAAAGATATCGAAGAATAAACGGTAACAAATCTGTTTCGAGGCTTGAATATTTAGCTTTCGAGGTTGTTCGCTCTCAGAAGCTGTCCGTGTCAAATATTTATCTCTGTATACGTATATATAATAAACAAATTACTTCATGGTTGGTTCGCTTGTACGATTTTTATTACACTTGCTAGATTAATTTTGCAGTTTTATCTCCCTTAGTCATGGCTTCATAACTGCACACTTGTGCTAAAAACAAATTGACATGTCTTTGGTTTTACAGTTCACAATTTACTGTGACTATGAATATTATATGATAGCCAGATAAGAGAATTCATATTACTCCTCTGTGCTTTGAGAAACTAAACCACTAAAACCAGTGATGCAGAATATCGCTTAGAATAATTACATGTTAAGTTTCATTCCGATCGGATAAAACAAGAAGATGATTAAATGTTTGTACTCATTTTGAAAATTTTAATCATTCTCTGCAGAACCGTTCAACGCTATGTAAACACACGCGTTCCACGCCCATGTGCGACAGTTAAATGTGTCAGCCGATCAGAGCATAGTTAGATGCTGCTTACAACCTCGTTTGACTACAATATTTGCCAACAAATGGGTTTGCAGAATGGGTATGGTAATTTTAAGTTAACCATTTGCTAAATGCTGTTCGAAACGTTCTGTCAGGACACTTCCATTTAAAAAGGCCTATTAGTGCGATTGCAATGCCCACAAGTCGAGCACTGTAGGTGCAGATTTTGTAGGTTCGGGGGTATGCTCTATCAGAAAATTTTTAAACCTAGAGTCTTGGAAAGCAATTTCCTGGACTTTGGGGGAAGATTTTACAGTACGGTATATTGAAGGTCATAAAACGACAGTATTTATAACATTAACATAACAAAATTTGTTTTCTCGGGGATTTCTTCACTTGCCAAAAATCACGTTGTTTAGTGACATTTCTTGGTTTTTTTGTTTGCCAACAAATCCTTCATTTGCCACACCCCCTATTTGCTACAGCCCTGGGGCCGGTTGTATAAAAACGTAATTAGCGCTAACTGTAGTTAGCGTTAATCACTGTAGTTAAATCCTTAACTGTAATTAGTTAACTACATGACTTAACTGCGTTGCACAAAACGTAGTTAGTCGGATAGTTAACTAATCACGTAGTTAACTGTGCGTGGGGCTTGCGTGGGGCGTTTAAACCCAAAATTACATAAAGTAAGCAGCGAGTAACGACTGCTGACACACATTTTCAACATGATTGTGGACTCGTATTTTGCAAATAGGCGGGAATTTTATTCAAAACACTAGAAAACAGTGAAAAATAAACTGAGAAAACAAGGAAAAACCGCCACAAACATCATAAAAGAAGGCAGTTTTTCCTTGAGATGTCTACGTTAAACCAAGGTCTAGCTGTTTGGCAATTATATATCACTGTTTCTTGGTGTAATGGACCATACTTCGTCTTCGAGAAATCGTCCCGTGCAAAAATATGTTCTGTTTTCGTAAAAACACCAAAGCGATAGCGTTTGAAGAGTTTATATTGTCAGGAAACATTCACAGGGAAGATAGCGATTGAAAATCTGAAGTAAGCGTTGCTTTTCATTGTTGTTTTAATTTACTGAAAAATGTTGTTCACTCCTATACAAACGCCATTTT